CCCCAACGCTAGTCCTCGAGGCTACTTGAAAGAGTACACAATATGTAAACATGCCATGACGATACACAGATGAAAGAATCGTCAAAATGGTTTTCGAAAGTGTGGTAGTGGACGTTTTAAACCGGTTTTTAGGGGATTACGTTGTCAACCTCGATAGCTCACAGCTGAAGCTTGGAATATGGGGAGGTAAGTGAAGTTGTGTTTGCCTTTCATTAGCCTAGCTAAACGCTAATACAACGTTAGCAGGAGGCAATCGCGTGAGCAGAAAAGAGACTGTCAGCTCTCAGTTTCAGCTTCTCTGTCCAAAAATGCCGTTTTGTGATACATCATGAGTGCAACATGACAGCGAAATGTTATTTTGGTGGTAGATTAAAAAACCTTTCTTAAAAATAAACWGCGACGTTTTATCTGCCTGTTAAGCATTTTGATTCTGCTTGTTCAGTTGATCCTAGGAAGTTCCTGAGAATCGAGCAGTTTAGGGTCCCGCCCTTCCACACAGCCAGGTTATGTTATAACTCTCTGTGATCCCCCAGACCAGTTCGGCAAATAAGATAGCAAAACACGTCTCTTTACGTTTGTCTGCGTGTTGCTTTTTACATCACCCAATGCAATAACCTAGTTATTCCAGACAGATACATTAGACGTGCGTCTATTCCTATATGTTGTGTATTTAATAAACTGGCATAAACATGTAAAAAATTGTTGCACTATGGTAGTCATTGATTAAATTTTTTTTAATTAATCTGCTCTTACAAACTTCTACAGGTGATGCCGTTCTTAAAAATCTTGAAATAAAGGAAAATGCCTTGGTGAGTTCCAGTTAAATGTGTGAGTAACCTCTGTTACATTCTGTCTTTGGTGATGGTTTTGTGTGATAGATGTCTTTGTTTATTTGTTGCAGAGTCAGCTTGATATTCCCTTTAAAGTCAGAGCTGGTCACATAGGTAATATTGATGGCTCCATTTAGCCTGGTTTGAGATGTTTTAGGATTGAATTCATGTTATACTTTGTGATTTTTGTTAACAGGACGCCTGGAGCTGAAGATCCCATGGAAGAATCTCTACACCCAGTCAGTGGAGGCCACACTAGATGGTGTCTATCTCCTTATAGTTCCCACAGCAAGTAAGATCATCATTTATGATCTTTGAAATACACAAACTATAAGYGTTAGGTTTGATTCTCACTGTAAATGTCACGTTGTGCCTCTTGGCACACAGTTTTGTTAACAAATCCTAAACTGCTAAATCCTAAACTCAGTAATATTTTGTCGGGGTGACTTTGTGTTTTCAGAATTCTTAGAGCAGTTTGTATTTTAGTTCTTGTTTTACAGAAATAAATATAATTCAAATGTGTTTAAAATGGCAAAAAATAAATTAAAAAAGTTTTAATAATAGTCTTGTTGTGTAGTAAAGACAGAAAGGAGGTCTCTCACTTATTTTACTCAACATGGCAACTGAGCTCTAACATTTATGACACACGCTGTTTATCTTTTTGCTTTTAAAAAGTAACAAAGACAGCTAACCTTTTCGGTGGTTCGCTTCCTGCAGGTATAAAGTACGATGCAGAAAAAGAGGAGAGGCAGCTACAGGAGGCTCGTAAAAGGGAACTCGAACGAATCGAAGAGACGAAGCTGAAGGCTGCAGAGCAAGGTCAGAGTTCAAGTTCAGCTTGGGTTTTTCAGATTGTGTAAACAAGTTTCGGCAGGTTTCAGAGACATTTCGAGCCTGACTGTGCGAGACAAGTGTTTCAGCATGTAGGTTTTAGAGAGAAACAACTAAAAGCTGTGATTAAAGTGTTAAATTGTGGAGCAGATGTACTAAGGTCTTATGATAACAGCTGTTTAGTCACATGGTTGTGGTGTGACTAAGCCACCCAAAAACTCACACTTCTCTAAATATGTCAGTTCATATGAGATATTGAATTTATGTTTTTGTTTTTAATTATTTGATATTTTTTTAATCTAGCATTTGATCTTTGTCATTTTATACATGTTCTAAAATTTGTTTAATGTTTTTCACTAATAGTCTTAAAACCATTATAAAATCTATATTGTCCTTGAAATAATAAAAATTTTAAAGAACAAATTCAAATGAATTAGTTTTTCACAGACAGAACTAAAGGATATTTAGACATCAACATTAACAGGAGTTTAGAAATGCTACCCTCTCCCACATGCTGATGGTTTTTTTATGCGGAGTCKCTCCTTATAGGCAGTACAGAAAAAACAAGAGAATCAGTTTGGGTTTCATAGTCATATTTGTTCATGTTCAACAGAAAACCCGAAGCTGGAGAAGCAGGACACTTTTGTAGAGAAGCTTGTGACTCAGGTTATCAAAAACCTGCAGGTCAAGATCTCCAACATCCATGTGCGCTATGAAGATGATGTGAGTATTCAAGCTGTGTTGTCTTATTGCAAATTAAAAAGTACATTCTGTGTTCTTTGCAGTGTGCTTGTTTTTTTTTGCATATTTACCTTTGCCTTTATTGATACTATATATTAAAAAAAMAACAACTGTAGTTTTAACAAGTTTATTTTTTAATTTTCTCACAGGTTACCAATTCAAACTGCCCTTTGTCATTTGGGGTTTCACTTCAAAACCTCAGCCTCCAGGTAAATAGATTTTAAATTTACTTTTTGTCAAAAAAAATGTGCGTGTGTGTGTGTGTGTGTGTGTGTGTGTGTGTGTGTGTGTGTGTGTGTGTGTGTGTGTGTGTGTGTGTGNGTGTGATATATTGTATTCTATTATATCGTATTATATATCATATTACAGACATCAGATAAAAACTGGAAGCCCAGTCTCTTGGATGAAAATTCCAGGCTTTTCTTTAAGGTAAATTAAGTTATTAAATATTACAAAATATTAGACTGATGTAATCTTATTTTGTTCACTTTTGTTTTCCTTCCTGCTATTTATTCTGTTGAGTGAAAACCTAAAACACTAGATTAGCTTTCTTTTTTTTATAATTCACACTTGTTCTTATAGAGTATTTTGCTGTTTTTTATTTTTATTTATCTTTTAATTCTGTCAAGTATCAGATGCTTATTGTAAAACTTGGCAGGCTTTTTTAAATCACCTTTTTTAATGAATGAAACCGGTTAGATCAGTTCTTTGAAACATTTATGTCAGGATTACTTCTTGGAACTTACTTTATTTCCTCTTCTCTTTTTGCCCTGGGCTCATTTCTTTACATTAACACAATAAGCGTCTTACTGACTCTAATTGCTTTTGTGAATTTTCTCCTCAGTTGGTTCGACTGGACAACTTGTTTGCCTACTGGAACGTCAACTCGGCACTTTTCTCCAATCACGATGCTGAAGAGGCCTTAGTGAGTCATTAAACCGTGTGTTGTACGTTCTCTCCATCCTGTCTGTATTGMGTGCTCTTATGGGGCTGACCCGCATTGTGTTCCATGTTAAACAGTACTTCGGTTGTGTGTCAGCTGTATGAATACGAAGCAGAAATTTGTAAACAAAACCTATCCTGAACCCTGTTTAAAGGCTTTCACAAAGCTTGTCAGAAAAGCCAGACCTTTTTTTTTATAAGTGTGTTAGAGAGATCATGATATCTTAAGTATAAAAAGTAAAATGTAAACAAATGTTCTCTTATTATTTTTGGTGTAGCGTTGTCTTCAGAGCAGCATGGATATTCACCGTTCTGTTCCTGCCAGCCATGACTTCAGTAAGTGTCTCACTGTCATCATTTACTCTAATTTTATGGTTTATTTTTCCTCTTCAAATCCTGCTAAACACACACATCATGGGAAAAATAAAACGTTTGCTTCATAGAGATGGTTAACTGTCATTTCACAGCCACTGCGCTCCTTTTAAAATTCTGACTCACACAGCTTGAATTATCGTCGTCACATTTGAGCAGACTTTCATCACATCTCAGCAGCTTCTGTTTTGATTTTCATTCACAGTGCACATCATTTGAAATACTAATCTTATTGAGGAAAAAAAGGTTAATAGTGTCCACATTAAATCTTTAACCTGAAGTAAACAAAAGCTGTTGAAAACTCCAGTTTCTCCTAAACGTTTGATCACTTTCCCRTTCTTGGTTCACAGTTTTTCGTCCCATATCAGCGGATGCTAAATTGCGGATGAATCCCAGGTCAGATGTGGATTTTTCTTCTCCAAAAGTGGATTTGACAGTCCATCTCAGTGAGGTGGCTATTGAGCTCAACAAGCCTCAGGTTAGTGGGGGTCCCAGTCTCAAAGCCTCAAATGAGTGCTTTGTGCTAGAGACAAAGATAAAAACAGAAGTTCCAACAGTGAGATGAAAATAAGTTTGTTAAAGAAATATGAAATTGTATAATGTATATCAAAAGCTGTTGTTTGAGAAGGAATTAAAGCTTTTATTTTGTTTTGTTTCTTGATTCTTATTGCTTGAAATTAATTATGGAAAAAATGGGCAGATATAAGATGTTTTTCTTGTTTTTCCCTCCTTTCATTTCAATTTCAATTTGTATATTTTTTTGTTGTGTATAAAAAAATGTTTTTTGTTTTTTAAATTAAACGAATAAATGAATTAAACAAACAGAAAAAAACCCTAAAGATGATAAAAGTGCACTGCAGCACCCGGTTCACTTTGTAATAATTGCCTTCCTGCCTCTCCAGTATATTAGCATCTTGGAGCTGCTGGGCTCGGTGGATATGATGTCACGAAACCTGCCATACAGGAAGTACAGACCTGGGGTGCACGTTCACAAGAATGCTCGCATATGGTCAGAAAACTCTTGAGAGCCTCGTGACCTCGTAACCATTTAACATTTTGATTCCGCTGTGTGTTTCGCGCTTTGTTTRACAAACCGAGCAGCTGACATGGTGCTCCTGTAATTTCAGGTGGAMGTACGTGATTAAGGGGATCCTGGAGGTGGACGTGAAGCCACGTCTCCACATGTGGTCGTGGAAATGCATTCACCAGCACAGGCAGAGGGTGAAGTGTTACAAAGACTTCTACAAGACAAAGATCACCAGCAAGAAGCCCAGCGATGAGCTTCTCAAGCACCTAGAGGTGGGGCTCAGCTGAACTGAGCTGAATGGGAAAATTGTATATGAACATTTTTTTAGACTGGATTAATGTCATAGATTGTGTTTACTCAGCTGTGATGGCATTTCAAAGGTAATATGCAAAGATAATGTGATACGCCAGTTGGTTACTATATACAGGGTTCCTGCGGATCCTTAAAAAGTCTTAAAAGGCATCGAATTCATTGATCCAAAATTAAGGCCTTAATTAGCCTTAAAATGTCTTAAATCAATCTTTCAGAAGTC